GATGGGTATTGAGTTCATCTTTAAAATGAGATCAAAATCATGTCTGTATCTATATTACTTTCGAAGTTACAGAACCAGTCCCGGTACTTTCGGGACACCTTATGTATACTTTACGCCGAAAAAGCGAACCTGAAACTTAAATGCGTTAACTTCCGAAAACCATATAATAATCCAACGAAAATAAATAATTGGTACATAACAGCTTTCTTGTATGCAAAGAAAATAATTAAAAATGTTAAAAAAGAGATGTCAACACAAAATTACATAGCCCCTTCAATTCAGAAGATACCACAAACGAACTGTACCTTAACATTTTCATATCCCAGAAGCTAACGTTCCCATGACGAATATTGCCATCGCTAGCGATTGCAACATCCAACTTGTTTAGTGTTCAATTTGACTCATGTATGGGCCATCGAGTTCTCAGAGCGGAAGGTTTGAACGCACGCGTCCAGAAACATTGAATATATTGGTAAGGAGTTAATTCCAGTAATTTTCGTTGCGCAAATTGTGTTCTACGTAAAATTTTGGTTAAGAAACACGTATCCGAATGCTTAAATTCGTACATTGTCTTGTGGTCCATCGCGCCTTCTAAGGGAAACGGTTATGCCATGCTTTGCGATGAATCGATTCAACTGCTACATTCAAATCTATGGAAAATGATGTATTATCATAGAGTCCCTTTATACCGAGAATTACGACATCTCACTTTTGGTTGCGCTGAAAGTGGCCTAGAAAAAATACAATGCTGCTTGGTTCTCGCTAATGGAGTCACAAATAAGTGCACCAAGATGGCGGTACCTCAAATGTGAACAAAAATAATGAAAATATAACCTAATTGTGGTTTATCAAGAGTAAATTGTTATTTTCATCGCACCAAAATGAAAATAGATCAAGAAATTATCCGCTAATCAATCTAATTTTATTTAATTGCAATTTCTTTGGTTAGGTTTTGATCAGTTTTGTTGATGTTGCGTTGTTTTTGGATAACAGGCTTAGCAGGACTCCTTATACTTATCCCTCAATATCGTTGATTTGGGTGCACACTTTTGTGACACCATAGCCAGCCCAGGTCAGCTGATAATCGAGATGTCTTAACTTAACTCTGGGTATAAAGGGACTCTAGATTATCAGGGTGTCCGCAACGAATATCGGAATAATCGATTCTTCACCATACCTTCAAATGGAGAAATATCGATAAGGTGATTATCACGCCTCACCACTGGTAAGGTCCTATTTCCGTGGACATTCGCAGAGATGTCGTCAAAGTGAATTTTTTGCCAACAGCTGTCCGCGCCGGAACAAATAATTACGACGAACGGAGCTTCAACGGAGTTCGATGATCCCGATTCGTCGAGGAGGCTGGAAACCAGGAGTTCAAGTTGTTTCGGATCATCGTCGAAAAGTACCAAAAAGTACGGACCAAAAAGGACAAGAGCTCCGACCGGGTTCACGTTTGAAGATGAGAGAGAAATAGCCCACGCGTGTTGCTGTTGCTGGTTGGCTCAATGGTGTCATAAGATTCCGTACGAACCGAAGGAAGGGGGCTTCATAAATGGATTCCCTGCTGCACAGTACTATGAAAAACCTTTCAAAGTGAGCGACATGCCAAATGTCGTACGTGCAAAGAATTGGGAATTCCCTTTTGGATGATTAAAACCAAAAATACATACATGGCAGCTGCTATTACACCGCGCAGCTTCGCTCATTGCGACACCTGATCGTCATTGTCCCCTGTGCTCCTACAGATCATCAGGCAACCAGTTAGTTGCGCTGGTCACAGAATCGTTTTTTGACGCTTGATCCTTGTAGATCAGCTAAAAATACTAAGGACTGCCCAAACAGCAATTTTCTACGTTCAATATCAACCAAAATAAAGCGCTGCGAAAAATTTGGTTCATGACGTCATCCACCGTGGTGGTGGCACTGGTTTCTTCAACCTTGCTTTTATGCGTGTTTTATATTGATTGATGACTAGCGAAAATGTGTGTCTCCCTGACAAATGGAAGCAAGGTGCAAGAAACAAAGGGTGTCACTACCGTGGTGGGAGACGTCATAAGCCGCATTTTTCAAAGCGCGATATCTCGGTTAATATTAAACGTAGGAAGTTGCTGTTTGGACACATCTCATTATTTCTAGCTGATCTATAAGCATCAAGCATTAAAACACGATTCTATAACCAAAGCAACTCATCCAGTTACCGTTCATAATCGTGCGCCTAAGCCACGCACGATTATTTCGCTGACATAAGGTGATTTTGAAACTTCAAAATCTCCAGTACCATTTTACTTTCTATGTTAACATTCTCCCCTTACTATCGCCCATATTTTGTTATCTTGCCCAAAAACTTATACTACCTATACTATACGTATACTAAAACCTATACTACCCATACTACTTGTATACTAACACCTATACTTCACGTATCAAAATGCAAAATTACCTCCCTCCAAAAATCCCTCCTTTCAGCTCTGATGATCCAAAAGTAATCACTGAAATTTAAAGCTATTTAAGTAAAACAATTTACAAATATCAGTGGCGTAGCTAAGACTTCTTTTAGGGGGGATGGTCCATTCAAAAACGTGATGGTAAATTTACATTATCTTATGTACGTCCCTGATAACATTTTATGTCTGCCCTCTAAAAGTAAAAAAAAGAGGTACAATTACTGAGCTGGGGGGGCAGACCCCCTGGACTCCCCCACCCTTTTCTACGCCACTGTGCAAATTTAAGGTAAATCCTGGTCTCCGACGTAAGCCTGGTCGCTGATCGTCAAATAGTATTTTATTTTGTAATAATAGTCTCTTCAATTTTCCGAGCTGTACCTCTATTAGTTACAATTTCAACTTCTACTTTAAAATAAAACCTTAGGTAGACAACAACAAGAAAGAGGTAATTTAGATTTTTTTCAAAGTTGTATTAAATGAACGGAGGGAGAAAATAAATTTTCTCACAGCCTTTTTCTCTAAAAAAATTGCAATTGCTTGTTTTAATGCGAGTGATACACGCAGCAAATTTGTAAGAAACATTGATTTTATATCGTTAGTAAAATTCATTCAAAAATAAAAAAATGTATCCGTGCTATTTACACCGGCTATGGAGCGAAATTATTTTTTCTACACCCATCGCATATCCTTTTCTAAGTAAAAATAATAAAAACCTAAAATCTTTTTTTATAAAATGTGAGTCATTTACATGAAATTTTAATAAGCCCGTCTTTCACATTTTTATGGAAATAAAAGTTTTCGGTCAAGCCGTTTCTTCAAAATTAGGACAAAGACAAAACCGATTAATAAATAATAAATCCATAAATCGCAATTTGATATGTAGCATCAGCAGATTGAATTTAGGTCATTTTCAATAGCATTCCATTTTCGGGTGAAAGCTCAGTATTCCTTTAAACAAGGGGAAAACACACCGAGAATTGGCCCGAAAAGCATGTAACAAAGTGGTATAAGGTATTCAGGTTATCAGGTTCAAAATTTAAAATTTTCAATCTTCTTTGCCTTGCTTACCCCGCAAAATTGTGTATATATTTTAACACCTTGTTATTCATATAAGTTTTAACTTAAATCAGCTAACAGGGATGTTCCATAATGTATATAGATCAAAATTAAAAAGAATATCGTGTTATAATCCTGAAATCTTTTGGGCCAAAAAACATCTCTTGATGGGACACGCTTTGAATGTTTTTCTTCCTTTGCAGAGAAATTTGTTCGCATTAGTATCAAAATGATCTGAATCTGTTATAAAAGTCCGGATTTTACATTCTGTGGATCTAGTAATTTCTAGACTTTTTGAAATTTATGATCTACACAGTTTTTTTTTATAATTTTAGAATTAATTGATTCCGTGTTTTCTTAATTTTGTTTTTGAGTATTTGATTTGTAGTAATTCATAACTCTCATCAAGAAGATCATTTTTTTTTGTATAATTTAGGAAACATTTGTATGATTGCAGATTCGTGTGTGTCAATTTATTGATAATCCCTCAAACGTAAGTTATAGGTCCCCAGAATACATAGAAAAATTCAGGATAAAGTGAGTCGGTGGATACAACTTAATTAATTTCGGTGTGGCGTTGGGTTGCATCGTCAAATTTGAAGGCGATTTTGCTTCCGAGGGAAATTTTGAATATTTGTATCTCATTCTTTCGGAGTTTGTTCGGAATTTTAAATAAATCATCCAAAACTGTCAATGAAAATTACTCATATGTTTCCCACAAAATAGTACTCTGTCGAGACAGTTTTAGGAAAATTCAAATGTTAATACGACTTTTACCCTTATCATGGCAGTTTGTCTTTCAATTAATTGATTATTCTTCAAATGAAAGTGGAAGGTCCTCTTTGCCCACCCTAGCAATGTACACATCAATGAATTACATGAAACTAGAAGTAGCCTAAAGGAATGGAAGTTTGAAAGTAACCCCAATATTTCAACCTGCACGGTAAAGTCTCCGTCATGCTGATGTCCACCTGCTCAGCATGCGTAAAGGCATTCAGCCATCATATAGCCATCATATAGCCATTCATATAGCCAATCGGTGGAAGCAACTCAATTAACTTCGGTGTGGGGTTGGGATGCATCGCCAAATTTGAAGGCGAACTAGCGGAGATTTTGTTTCCAAGCGATACGGCGCCCGAACCGTAACGGTATTGTTGCACTCTTTCGCGATGAAGGAGGATTTGTATTGAATTAATGATTAAACCGATTTTATTTCAGTGACTTAAAATGGTATTTTTCATTTTCATGTTAGGCTAGTTTAATGCAAGACAGCCGCAAGTGTAGTCCTCTGTATGCTTTCGTGATCGTGTTTTGGACGAACGACAAACACATTTCATAGGTTAGAAATTGGCAGAAGAGGGCGGCACTTTACTTTAAAGCACTGTTTTCAGAGGCTCTGAGGAGAAATAATGTCACTTACTGCTGTTTTGTATGAAACTGCGTCATTTTTTCTGCACTTAGGGTTTTTATACCTTTCGTTTTAATGAAAAAAAGATGAAAGTTGCTACGATAGTTATTTTAATGGATTCAGCTAAAAGAAATAAGACGAATTCTGAAGGCGACTAGATTTCGAAAATTTGAACTTACTGGTCTGTTCGCTATCACGGCAAAATAACGCCGTATGATCGCTCGGGCGTTGCCAAATTTGTGTTTGAAACACAGATTTCTTAAAGGAAATTTTGAGGAGTTCTCTCTCAAGTTTTCAGAGAAGTCGTTCATTTTCATTCAAATAAAACACATTTCCAATGCATAAAAAAAAATAAAAATATGCGGATGACGTCATAGCGTCATTTTTGCCTGGGATGTGCTTATAAGGAGATGAAGGCGTTCGTGGTGGCATCCAGTCGAAGTTGGCTGAGTTTTGAATCGACCCAGTTTCGGAATTTGGCAACATTTACGTAGACACCAGGGGTGCCATTTTCGCCGCAGCCGATCCCCCAAGCCACGATGCCAACCTGCACATAATGCCCTGGTCGGGATTGGATTGGGCACACCAATGGGCTACCACCGTCACCCTGGAAAAAAAAACAATGATAATCAGGGTCAGTAGCTATTCTTAAAAGTTGGCAACACTGTTATTCTTCCATTCGAATGTACGTGAAACAATCGATTCCTTGGCGAGGCAGCTTGCCTCACCTAAAATCGATATTATCAATGGATTTAAATGGAAGGAAAACAGTGTTGCCAACCTGCAAAATTTCTACGGATCAGAGTCGGAGTATTGTTAGTCGTATTGAGTGAGAAAAAGAAACCCGTATAACTTTTCTCCTATAAAAAATAGAAAACCAAGCGAAAATATCTTGAACGTGGCAATAGTCGTTAAAACTGGTCTTCATGATGGAATAAATCTTCAAACCTTTTTTTCTCGATTCGACTCTATGCGATGCTTTTGAACTCGGGCCAATCATGCAGCTCAACAAAAAACAGGTTTCGTGTCAAAATTATCGATTTAAATTTTCTAATCTCTCAAAAACATTCGTTAAAGAATTTCATTTCACATAAATGGCACCAATAAGTGGACTATATTTTGCAATGATAAAAGTAATTATCTCTGAGACCTCGTCTATGAAAGCACTTAATTGAATACAGGAACTAATGGCAAAAATATTGTTCAAAAAATAAGCCAGAAATAGCAGTTTCCTACGGGAAAATTTAGTCGGACAATCAAACTTCATTTTGCAATTAGGAACTACAATTTCTAATTCGTCCGTAAAAGCACTCATGTGCATAGAGAAACTAATAGTACATATACATATTGTTTCTAAATTCAGCCAGAAATTGTTGTTCATAATATCAAAATGCAGTCCAATCAATCACAACTTGCGCCGCGGTCAAATTGCATATCCCACGGAATGAAGGAAATTTATGTCTGTGAGAGTATGCGTGGCTTGACTGTCGATTTGGTGCGGCTCTGCAAGTTTGCTCCTCGCTTAAAGAATTATTTTAAGTTTGTCAAAACATCTTGATTGCCGGAGAGCTATCGATACAATTACTGAATATCTGTACAGGAGGACTATTCTCATAATTTAAGTTTTATTTCGATACCTTGCACGCATCTTTTCCTTTTTCTCCACCAGCACAGATAAAACTCTCGTGGAGCCTGAAGCGTTTTCCAAGTCTGGTTTGTTGCAGAGCAGCTTGGCAAACATCCCGTGGCACCGTTGGCATCTGTACTTTCTTCAAAATTACTTGATATTTGCCTTCTTTGCCTGAAAGCCGGAAAAGCAGGTTGAATGTACAGAGGGTGTGACTGCAAATGAATGCATTTGACCGGAAAAATTTCGACATTAGAAATAGCAGGAAACATTTAAGACATGTCATTCGTGTATTTCTTTCATTTTTGACGGCTAAATCTGAAATTGACGTTTTTCCTTTATCGTGCACCGATTTGCAAGAAAATTGAATTTTCTTCAGGACATCTCGGTTTGCGGGGAAAATTCCAATTTTTTTGGGCCGAACCAATCTGATTTAGCAATATTGACATCATCTTAAAATCCTATATATTAAAACACAAAATTCCGAATCTTTGGACGTTAACTTTGAGAAAACCACCTGCCTGTCAGGTGCCTGATCCATTGCCCCAACTGCCCATTTGCCTGATCTTTTTTAAGAATGGAAGCCCCTGAGCTGTAGATTTACAGGCTGTAATTTGTTTTTCGATTTTCTCAGATTTTCTCCTATAATTTTCTTAAATTTTCTCCAATGTATCGCACTTATTAAAACACAAAATTCCGAATCTTTGGACGTTAATTTTAAGAGAACCACTAGACCAATTTGCCTGATCTTTAATTAAATGAAAGCTCCTGAGCTGTAGATTTGTAGGCTGTACTTTGTTTTTCGATTTTCTCGAATTTTCTCCTAAAATTTTCTCAAATTTGAAAAGACAGACTAAGATTTCTTATTGGCTTAAGCAATCCCAAATCTGGCCCTGGTCTGAGGAATAGATGGAGTGATTTTACCAAAGACATCTTTGCCCCAGCCGGACACGAAACACTCCCGCTCGTCAAACACCTCGTCTTGTCCGGGCAGGCAAGCTACGTCGACGTTCTCTTTGAACTCGAGGGGTTCGTCCAAGACGAGTAGGGCCACGTCGTTGTGGAGTCCACCGGCGTAGTACGCATCGTGGACGATGATATCCTTGACGCGCCGGTCGTAGTGCGGCAACAGCTCGTTCGTCGTCTGCGTGTCCCACTCACCGGCACGGACCTTCAGCGGCAGAGGTGATTGTCTGTACAGAAAAACGACAGAGACGCTGAAAGAAAGTAACGGGTTACAGGAAAAACACACGGGGGAAAACGGGAAACAAGGCTAAAATACACAATTGATAAAAACCGAGACGTTCCGACTCAAAACGGAGTCATTTTCAGTCGGAAATACAATAACAATTTTAAAAAAAAGCTTAAAACCTGAGCCCTACATGGTGGTGGCCGGGATCTGCTGTTGTCCACAACACGGGATCTGTTGTTGTCCCACAACAACGGAGATGGGGAAGGGATGTTCGAAGAAGAAAAATCAATAGAGTCCTTACACACCACAGGGAATTTCGATTTGAGTACCAGTTAAGTATGAAATTTTGCGGAAAAAATTATGGTGATTTTCTCCAAAACAAACTTTCAAACTAAAAAACTCTCAAAGTTGAGGTCATTTTCGAGAGTATTTACGTAAAGCGGTTAGATTCCACGTCTGCTCTAGTTAAAATATCCATGCACTGATAGGGAGAAAATACATTAGCAGGATTGCTATATAGTTCGGGAACCCCAAGGCTTTAACCAAGCTCTGCTAATGTATTTTATACCCGCAGAGAGATTTTGACCGGGTGAAGAGGTGGAATCTTATCGAAACGGTCCCAAATTTGAGAGCTTTTTTCACCTTGAGAGTTTGTTTCAGAAAAAACCAATGGCACCATTGTGCAATCGGCAAAATTTTCCGTAAAAAAAGGTAATGAAATCGTGAATCCGTGCAACACGCAAGAGCTCTATTGTGTGGGCTAATTCGTCGCAACTTCCTAGACAGAACGTAACTACTTTTCAATGTTGCCAAATTTCTCCTCACAAATTGTATTTTTGGCAAGAGACTCTTAAGCCTTTTTGATTGAAAACTTTCCTCATTTATCTCTTCTCATGTAAAAATTAGACAAATGCTGGTAAAACATTGAGCAGGCACATCCGTGTAAAAAAATAAAAAATTAAAGTGTCTAAGTCAATTTGGCAACCTTGAAATGGAGTTACGTTCCTTCGTCCGGGAAAGGACGAATTTTGCGACCTTAATGTACATACAGTCCAGAGGCGGACTCAGCAATTTGGCAACACCGGATTTCTTCCATTTAAACCTATACTAAATAATCGATTCTTTTTGGAGCACCTTGCTCCTCCAGGAATCGATATTTTTCCATAGGTTTAAATAGGGGAAAAGCAGTGTTGCCAATGCGCTGGATCCGCCAATGACATTCCTTCGTCGAAGACGTGACGAGTTTTGAGGGTCAAATAAAATAACAACGTAATATGGGGAAAGGCTGCAAAAAAAATTCAGAGACAACGAGAGACAACCTACTTTCTTTTGTATTTACCAATATCGAACCAGTGGTCGCCGATAAGTAAGAGTAGGAAGTGAGAAAAGTAACGGTCAAGGCCATGTATTCTTAGTTAATCTTATGGAAAAGGCGGTGGTGGTAACGCTCGTTTGCAGAGAGGGGAAGGGGAATTTTTAGTTCGTAATTTTTTACTCGTATCTTTTGCCCGTATATTCGGAGAGTATATCTAAAGTAACGGGTAAACGACAATCGAAAACACAGGAAAATGCGGAAACAAGGCTAAAATACAAAATACAAAGGCAGGACGTTTCGGTACCTTAGGGCATCATTATTAACTACTAAAATAGAATTAAAAATAAAAAAGAAATTAAAATAAAAAAGAAATTAAAATAAAAACCGGCAAACGACGTTACATGGTGAAATTGGTATTGAAACTCTAAGATAGAAAATCTAAAATAGATTTTCAATACCAATTTCACCATGTAACGCAGTTTGGTGGTTTTTACTTTAATTTCTTTTTTATTTTTAATTCTATTTTAGCAGTTGATAATGTGCCGGAAGGTACCGATACCGAAACGTCCTGCCTTTGTATTTTGTATTTTAGCCTTGCTTCCCCATTTTCCTGCGTTTTTGATTGTCGTTTCCGTTTCGGGCTACTTCTACATTCTCTTTGTTTTCCACTGTAACGGGTAAATACGATAAACCGTGTGCATGCTGTCCTTGAACCCATGCCGAAATTTAAGTACGTAATGATATTAATTGATCACTAATGAGAATGATAGTAATATTTTCGGTTGTTATCTATTGACGCGGGACAGCGCGGCGCAGTTGTGGTCTTTCGCATATTGCGCGGAGTGCGACACCCACATTTTAAGACAAAGTACTTAACTTCTTTTTAATTTGCGTCGAATTCACCATAGTTTCAGTTCTGGTTTTAAGATTGAACTGATGTCAGCTAATTTGCCGTATGCGGACGCGGATACCCAAAATTATTTGTGTAACATACTATGGTGATTCTTTACAACCTGCCGTGAAATTTTGTCTGCAAGTCAACTCAGAGAAAACTAACAGGTATGTCCCAGCCTACTAATAAAAGGTGCACCGAAAAAAAAAAGTGAAGTTGATGTAACATTTTGGATGTAAAAGAAGTGTGTGAGAACTTATAAAATGCTGAATTTCCCACTGCAGCAGTTACTTTGACAATGCCGAAGATGTAAAACTAACTGCTACGGTGGGTAATTAAGCATTTTATAAGTTCTCGCACTCTTTTTTTACATCCTAAATGTTACATCAACTTCACTTTTTTTTCGGTGATGGGTCTGCAGTATTTTGGAGGACGATTCGATAATCGATCGATCAATCGATAATTCCTGTGTTTTGGCGTATTTTGAAATGTGCTACTTGGGTGAATATCGCTAGTTATTGTGCCTTCCGATCTGCGATATTTACTGTAAACTTGCTAAAGATGATTCAAAATGCATCATGGTTAAATTATGTGTAAAAAACCCGATGTACTGTAGCATGAAGTACTTCTTGGAAATTTTTAAGAAATAAAAACTAGAGAACCAGAAACCACGAAAAGCCAGAAATTGACAAATTGATCACTTGCTTATCAACTCGTTCTCATTTGAACGAAAGCTCATCGCTAGACGTGCTTGGCTTGACTTACCTTCCACTAATTCTCGCCCGTTTTAGAATTTCATTAACATGCGTGCGACTTGGGTCCATATTCACTGTAGTGTCTATCCTTAAACAACTCTTCGCTTTAAGATGCCTCATAAAGTTTACATCGTAATGTAATTAGGTTTATGGAAATCCATAACAAAGCATCATGAAGAAGGGTTATTTTAACGATTCTCTCGTAAAGTCCAATTATACAGGGTGTTCATAAAGTAACTAAAAAGTGTCTATAACTTTTCAACAAAAAGAGATATAGGGTTCCGGTTTGGACCATTGTTCATGTTCATCGTGGCAAGGGGCTGATTTTTTCAGAGGGGCTTCCTTTGGGGGGCGCCATTAATGAGCCCCCCTGAAAAAATCAGCCCCTTGCCACGATGAACAATAGTCCAAACCGGAACCCTATATCTCTGTTTGTTGAAAAGTTATAGAATCTTTTTAGTTACTTTATGCCCACCCTGTAAAACTATAGAAATAGAGCCTTGCCATGGGTATTATTCACTTGAAGTATGAAAAATAACGGAAGAAAAAAGCATATGAATTTGAAAAATTTTACGGTTGGTACAAACCGACGTAAAATTTTTCAAAAGCTGCAAAGCTCCCGAGATTTGTGTAAATCGCCCTTTTACATGGTGCTATGTTCAGGATCTCTTTGGATCTAACTTAATTACAATGTAAATCATATAAAGTCTCTGAGGAAATTAGGTATTTTATGAACGGCTATGAATACAGCATTAAATTGCACGGAGTTTTATGCGATTTTTTTTTTTTTTTTTTTTTTTTTTTTTTTTTTAAATAAACAAGCAAGAATCTATGGAAGTTGACACTCATCGAATCAAGCTAATCATGTCAAGTGATGGGTTCCACAGTTGAATCAAAATAGCAAAAAATTAAAAGTTGACCGCCGTACCGTTCACATATTTAGAAGCTTTAGGCACACTAGATATTTTTCACAGGTTGGTGCAAGCACTTCAAACGCAAAATTTGCGTTGAGTTCATGCAAAATGGGTGCCATGATTGGTAACCGCCGAAGTACAAAAAAAGAAGCACTCTCCCATCTATCATAAACTACTGCACTATCATACGAAGTGCAGATGTGCGCAGATTTTTCATTGAAATCATTGCAGGTGACAGAACGTAAAAGTGTTGGAAGTCATTATGATTCATTCAAGGAAACCTCGAGGTAGCAAAACGCACTTTAATATTCCTGGGTTGAATGGCAAAAGCAACCTACTGAAAATGTACTATTTTACAGTACTCGCAATACCTACCATATTGCGTACTATTACAAAAGAACTATTTTAAAGATACTCATTTTAGTTTGAACCCCCAGTACTCAGATTCCCTTCAGCTCTCCATCTCTAGCACTGTGTAACTATCTAATTTTTGGGCCTATTGTAGATTAAAATATTTTGACGAACACATTAGCGAAAGCCATAGACATAATATGCACGAGCAACAGTGCCTAGTGAAAAGTCAGCAGCACTTACAATGAAAGTCAGATTTCCCGATAATTGCTGGGTCAAAAGCTTAATTGGACTATTTCTGCCAAAAGGAACTATGTGCATTAAGACATGAGCCCTGAGACCCATGAGAATACATGTAGGTATGCGCAACAGGGCTCACGTCATAATGCACATAATTCCATTTGGCAGACATACATCCAATTGATTTATTGGCCTCGCATTGATGATGCTCTGGGAAGCCAATTTATCAATGAAGGTCAGTGTGATAAAATATAAGATAAAATATAACCACCATAAACGAATATATACGGGGTGATTCAGGTGCAAGCGATTACATTATGACTATGGAAAAGGATCGATAAATAGGGTGTCAATTCGCAACGGTACCTTAATAATCGAATCTTCAACATAACTTCAAATGGGAAAATATCGATGATCGATCATTTACGCCTCGCCACAAACTTCATCCTCCAAAAAGTATGTTACGAAACTTACTTATTATATTGGTGGAATCTACATAGCATATCGATAGGGAAATTGGAGAAATGCGTGGCTCGGTTTGCAGTGTAAGTGTAGACTTCCTGTTATATCGGATTTCCACTTAGAAAACCACTGAACGTTATTTCTTGAAAACCTCGATGATCTCGCTCCTCATGTAAAGAATAATATTCTGTGCATGTTCAAGTCATAATAGGTATCCTCTTAGAAAATAAAATGGACGTGGAAATTTCGAAACACCGCAAAGGAGATACGAATTTTTGCAGTTTCATCGTTCATAATATCCTAATGGGACTAATAATAGTAAAAAGAAAAAGAAAAACAAATACATAGTAGATTCAGTTTCCTCTTTGAAATTTACGTAGTAATATCTAATTTGACTTTTGAAATATTCAGCTTTAATCACACCGGACCCAAACAGTTATTGAAGGCTTAGTTGAAAAACATTTCATTGTGCCAAAAAAACGTTACATTTTTTTGCGGCCTGGCAGTTAGAAAAAGTCCCACTGTGCCCTTCTGTTTGATTCTACATAACTCAAGTGATTCAGAATGTCGCCAACAAACCGTGTTCGAAAAACTAATTTTTCTTATGATACCTGTAAGCTCGTAAGAGAAAAGCCTTACGGAAAAAACCATTGTAAGATGTCGAGGAAGTCACTGTTTGACGCAAAATGGACTCGAATTAATATTCCGAACTTATTAATAAATTAGCCATACCCTGTACACATGTTAGGAATTCAGATTTGGAAGCTATATCTAAGAGTGTCTGACATTTAGATGAGTCAGCGTCTCTTATCCAACAACCAAGCTTAAATAATCGCACCGGGCTAACTAAAAATGCAGTTTCTTCCGTTTACATAGTGACCTAGTCGCACGTGTTGCGATAAAACGATTTATCTCCATCCAAGTGCAAGTTCTTTCCGTGATTCCCAGATTCCTTGATTGCTGTCCTTTACTTACACGAAATCAAAATAATTCTCATGCGCTCAAAACAAACATGAACCCCCCGTAAAATCATTATAAGTATGCATGTCAAAAGCTACAATTTTTGTTGGGCGATATAATATATGAGAAATTCTGTTCTTCCTGTCCTGGCATCATCCAGCGTTTTGGCCTGGTGCACCAAAAACACAAAAAATTTCCCTCATTTCTTTTATTTAAAGATAATATGATGGTAGTTGTTTACATATGTATATTACACTAATGCAAGGGGGTACGCCCCCGGCCGCTATACGGCCCAACCTCCAGAGGGTGCTTCACGCCATCTTAGGTCAGTTTGCCGGAGCCATGTGAGTCGGCTGCCCTTTTGGGCCATGAAAACTCTATGACCTAACCTTAAAATTACCGATATTTCGGTACTCTCCCTTGTACTCATAGAGTGCATAGAGTCGTGATGAAAATGAAAAATCTGACTCCATGTTCTGGTCGACGAGTTCTGAGCCCGATGTGAGCCGAGCTTCGGTCACTTTTTCGATACATGCTCTATCCAAAATGGCGGTGTGGAATACGTAGTAATTTCTATCGTCTTTGTTTACATCGGACGGCAGGTCCCCGTGTATCGAAAACAATCGATTATGTATCAAAAAAGTGACCCAGCGTCACAAAGGAGTCACGGAATCCGGGACCTGGAAATTGCTTAGAAGTGGCGTCAATTCTCTCACTTACATTACGACGATTCTTACGATTTTATTATTTTAATTTTTACATTTTTAGCTTTTTTCCAGTTGAGCATGAGCATGTAACTAGCCCGTAACGTCCTGGTTTGTTTTATTTCTCCTTAGCCTTGTATACCGATTTATTTTTTTATTTTAATGTGTTTTTTATTGTTGTCTGCATTCGGGCTATTGTGTCTCATCTCTCTCTTATCACTGTATCTATGGAATTAAACAACGGCGCACTATGGTCCACAGACTGGATTTAACGGAACTTTATTCGAAAATGCACTGCACCACCATAAAAGGTGTTGGATCTTATGATTTTTGGGTCGCTGATTTCATTTTACATCTTAGTTAAACAAAATATTAACATCCTGACCGAGAAACTTAACTTCAAATGTAATTTCTGGCGCTTTTAAGATTGAAGATTTTTTCCACCCTATTTTGACATGTATAAAAATAATAACAAAAATATCTCTCGGTCGAGATTAGGTTATTCTTGTGTATTTTTAGGCAGTAAATCCGAATATGACCTCCGTTTTTGTCCATTACCCTTCAATTTTCGGAAAAACCGATTTTACCCGGAAAAGCTCGTTCTCCAAGGAAAATTGAATTTTCCGGGATAATGAGGGGTGATAGGAAAAATCTAAGGCCATATTCGGGTTTAGCAAGTTAGAATGCGTAAGAATCGATGTATCGCACATCGAAATCATTTTTAAAATGTATTTTTAACACACTTAGAGTCCGGAAAAGGTTTTACCCAAAAGGCTCGGGAAAATCGGCATTATCGGAGAACTGGAGGGTGATAAAAAAAACCTAGGTCATATTCGTATTTAGCAGCTTAAAATACATAACAGAATCTCTTTACCGCGGGTCCAGTATAATTTATCAACATGAATTGCAATTATGGCAAAAATACGTCAAATTTGCTCATTTTCCCGGGAAAAAGTCGCTTTTTCGGAAAAGTGAGAGGTTATAAGAAAAAACCAAGGTCATTTTCGGACTCAGTAGATCAAAATATATCGGAATACTTTCATTTTGTACCGATAAAAAATTTAACAGTCGCAAAAACGCCAAAAATGCATGGAATATTCCACATTTTGATGCACGGAGGTGCACTCCGAAAAAAATTCATTTCGACCATTAGGCGACAAAAGGCGACATTTAAATTGGCCTCATTTTAAACTTAAGGATATGTAGAACAAGATTTTTTAATCCGCAAAGCATTAACTAGAATTAAAAAAAAGTTGGAGCTTCCTAAAAATTACGAATTTCACTGATTTCTATCATTTTTTGGCGTATGTTTGCAGCGTTAAAAAGCATACAAATTTCAGTTCAAAATTAATGAAACTGGGTGAAAAGGAAGTCACTTGCCACCAGGTGGAACCATGTTGCCCAAAAATTTACATAGATGATGCGTAACTCGGTAAAATAAACACCTTGTAACGCACCACCGAATGCGGCTCACAATCAGCTAATGAAGACCTGTCGCGCGCTCTGTTGTTAGGGTCCGTCACAATCTTATAAATCATTATTAGTCGATGAAAACTTAGGTGACGATCCATGGGAGTATGGATAATAAAACTGTAGTGCCTAACTTTAATTTTTCCCACCTTCAAAATGTGACTAAAGTTCCGTTAAATAGGGCCTGTGGACCATAGTGCGGCGCCTCGATTTTCTTCCGACTCACTGGGAAAAAAAACACATTGGATCTAGAGTCCAGACTCTTGAAAACATTGACAAGTAAAAATACTCTTGATTCAATCAGATGTAAGCTTAATTTAAAAGGAAATCCGCTCAAATTAAGAGGCTTGGTTCTTGATTTAAGCTTAAATCTGATTGAATCAAGAGTATTTTTTCTTGTCGATGTTTTTAAGAGTCTGGACTCTTGATCCGATGTGTTTTTTTTTCCCACCCTGGTAAAAATTGGCAGTAGAATCTGTGTTCCAAAACACCATAGACATACAGCCAGCTGTAAGATTTCCAATAGCTTCTATAGCTGGCTACACAATTTCTTATAGCTTTTTATAGCCGATGGCGACTAAGCAACGGCCAGGCGATAAAGTGTATGCTAAACGTTACTAATTACGGATGCTAGGACTTAGTGAGTTTTTGGAATACTACTCTCTTTTTGGGCCGTAGTATCTTGATTTATTTTGCGAGGAAAGCTCCGTACTTTTGATGGATGCCTGCCATTACTAATATATTAGAGCGCCTTCAGTTTCGTATGATGCTGTGCAATACCTCTGGTGTGAAATAGTTGCTTCAAGCGCCGTGGCACGCTGCGGCGCGGCAGGCGGGCAGCCAGCGCGAAACGACGCGCATTGGCGCCTACAAACCTAACAGGGATACTTCACGCGTTGCGCAATGCGTGAAGTATCCCTGTTAGGTTTGTAGGCGCCAGTGCGTCGCCGCTCTGCTCTGTGTTAGGCTCTAATATTTAATCTGGCGGAGTCAGCGTTATTCAACTTATGATTTTGAAATGTTTGCACATCCTGTATGGATTATTCTCATTTTAATTGATGAAAAAAAATATGTATTAAAAGAAAATATAATGTGTGTTTTGTAAATATTAAGGTGGTTCCGTATCAAATGTAATGATTTCCAAAGCACATGAATTTCTACACAATTTCTTATAGCCTTTTTTAATCGATGGCGAAAAAGCAACAGCCAGGCGATAAAGTGTAAAGCCCGGCGATAGGAACTATAGCCCGGCTGCATAATTTTTTATCGCTTCGTATAGCCCGGCCGTATGATTTTCTACGCATTCTACAGCCAGCTATATGATTTTCTGTAGCCTTCTTTAGCCGGCTATCAGAATTCCTATGGTATTTTGAAACGCAGCTCTTATCGCCAATTTTTACCAGAGGTGCGTTGTTAAATTACTTTTGCTGCCCAACAAAAATGGCCGAATCTTAGCAGGATTGACGTCATCTCAACGATGACGTCAGCTCAACAGACGGGAGAAAATCGAGGTGTCGTTGTTAAATTCCCGTAGGATTCTGCGGATTTGGAGGTTAAGTTTTGTTGAAATTTAAGATTTTTAACATTTAAAAATTTTATTAACACCCACATTACTACGAAATTGACGCAATAAACGATTATAAGCAATTGCAAGTCAGTCTGGTGACGAACATGTGGCGAAGAAGTGCGAAAAAATGGCGGTTATGGATGTAAACAATAACATTACAACAATCCAGCAAACTCGGCAGCGGTCCACAGCAGCCGAGAACCTCGCTGAGCTGTTGGGCAGTTTGCTGAGCAGCCATCTTGGAAAACGGGTAAATCCACCAGAATTTACCAACGCTTTCGTTGAGCTCAACGCTCAGCGGGTAATTTTCGTTGGGCAGTTGTGGACTTTAACAACGCATCTCATGGCAGTTCTGGTGAGTTTATTTAGTCGTTGAGATGACGTCATCTTGTACATCAACGACTCTATGTACTGTATGCTTGAACTGTACACCATTCTTTTTGTTTTCTAGGACAACTTCGACTCTGATTCGACGGCGCAATGGCGGGCGTCCTTACCGAGACCCCCCAAACCCTCTTCGACGACAATATCGAAACCTCCATCAAACGCGCAACCTCCACCCTCCTCGCATCCCAGAAAGATGAAGGACACTGGATATACGAACTGGAGGCGGACGTCACACTCACGGCTCAATACGTCATGCTGGCACACTTTCTCGGCGAACCACCCAACATTCTCCTGGAGCAGAAGATCTCTCGCTACCTGCGCCGCCTCCAGCAGGAGCAAGGCGGTTGGCCCCTCTATACCGGCGGTCCGCTTAACATCAACACCTCCGTCCAGGCCTATCTCGCCCTTCGTCTCATCGGAGATCCACCTTCCGCAGAGCATATGACACGTGCTTGCAGCGCCATCTTGCGGGCGGGCGGCGCAGAGGCCTCGAACGTCTTCACGCGAGTGCTTCTCGCACTTTTCGGCGTGGTTAGATTTTAAATCAGATTTGGATTGCATTTTGCAAAAAGAAACCACTAGCATTGCAATGATGCTAAGATTGTGAAACTTCATCTTTTGCAATAAAATTGCGGAAATCGTGAAAAACTATGAAATTTAGATGGTAATTTTGACTTAAATTAACAGTTTTTAGCTAGTAAAATAGAAACTATTAATAGATAATCGGGTTTTTCTTCCAAGACAAAAGAAGTTGCACAATCTTAGCAACGTTGCAATGCCAGTGGTTCCTTTTTACAAGATGCAATCCATTTGTATGTATGTATGAAGTCGCTTTTATAGCGCTGTTAGGCGCTCTACAACCCCTAGCCGCCAAAGTCCCCTATCCTCCCAAAGCCCTTCAGGGAGTTGACAAATCCTCATTTCTTCTAAAACCCCCCGTCGCCACCATTTCACTGGGCGCCCCCTTCGTCTCCTCCCAGGAGGAACCCAATCAAGCAACTTCTTTGGCAGCCTTTTGTCCGTCATTCTATTGACACGATCAGATTAAATCAGATTTTGCATCGGAAATATTCAGCACCTTCGTTTACATCAGCTGGCAATCGGAAACATTCTTTCATTTGTGCTGAAGTGAATATGTATCGGAAATATTCAGCGTTCCCGGCTTCAACTTTCGCGCAATCAGAGAGTGTTTCTGGCTGCCAACTGATGTGACCGGAAATACTCAATATCCATTTTAAGGTATTTACTTTATCGGTAGATATTCACTTGACGCTGTAACTGTGGCGCGCAGCCGGAGGAAGTATCCGGTGATCAGAAAATGTAAACGGAACTGTTGAGTATTTGCGGTAGATATTCTCTAGACGCTACTTTTTGAGGCAAAATTTTCTTAGGATCAGGAGTTATTATTGTATCGATAAACTCATTTTGAAGTGGGGCCATCAAAATGGCAGCGACCTCCCGGCCTAAAGTTATCCTATTGCAAATATGGGAGTCAAATTGGGTTGAAATTTACTTCAGAACGCACTGCTGAAAACAATCGGAGTGGCATGAATTAGGAATAAAAAACGAATGTTACTCCACAAGAAGGGTGGATTTCTTCCAGGAAAAGTATTGATTAACTCAATATTTCTCCCAACCTCACAAGTGGGATTTTTCCCTGGGACCAATTTCCCCTACTAGCTCTTTTAATCTTTTGTGACTTTTCAATTATTTCTGCCCTTCCATCTTCCTTTAATAGTTTTGTGAATGTAGGCCTTTGGTTAGGGACCTCCCCCCCCCATACCACCCTCTTCATTTTCTAATAAATCTTTCAGTAATTAAAGAAAAATAATAATAAAAATCTCGTAAAATGGCCCGTGGAGACAAGGCCTATCGTACTCGACGCGTCATTCACCTTTGGAAAAATAGTTAGTTAGTTAGTTAGTATAATTTTAAGACGTTCAGCGTCTCAGGCTATTAACGTCTTTACAGATAATTTTGAAAATGGGAGTATATACGAAACTTTAGATTTTTAAAGTAAGAGAGGTGAAGAGTTACAGAATTTTGGTAGTAATATTGGGTTCATCGCATGTAAGTGGGTTCGTATTTCTGTTGATTGTAGGGGAGTAGATCTGTGATTGGAGATATCGGAGGGCAGAGCAGTCCATAAGTATGTATTTGATGGTTAGAGGTGATGAATTACAGAAGTGACAGATGGGTTGATTTTCTTTAGAGATGATGTGACTATTCGCAAGTCAAAGTTCTTTCATGGTTTAGTGACTCATCAATACACTATTACTTTTTCATACTGTGTACATTTTGTTGCTCTCAAGTAGATCCCGTGGGATGTGATCCCGATGATCCCGGTGGAGGCCATTCTCCTGCCTCAATGGTTCCCGTTTCACGTCTCGAACATCTCCTTCTGGGCCCGGACCGCACTGGTGCCGCTGATGATTCTCCGGGCGGAGCAACCGGTCCGCCCGGTCGTAGGGATCAAGGAGCTATTCCACTGCAAACCGGAGGAGGTGGGCCCACTCCCCCCCTCCCTCCATCAGAGCGCGGCGTGGTTCTCCTTCTTCCAGGCGTTCGACAAGGCGTTGAGGCTCGTCGAGCCGATTAAACCGGCGTGGCTGAAGCGACACGCCATCGACAAGGCAGTCCGGTTTGTCGACGAGAGAGTGGAGACAGATATAGGTGAGGGGGTTGATGGAGACGATTTTTCCCGGGTCCTAGTTGATTATCCTCAGCATCGGTGGATCCAGCAATTTGGCAACACCGGATTTCCTCCATTTAAACCTATGGAAAAGTATCGATTCTTGGAGGGGCCAGATGCTCAGACAAGAATCGATTATTCAGCATAGGTTTAAATGGACGAAATCCGTTGTTGCCAAATTGCTGGATCCGCCTCTGATCCTCAGAGGGAGAGTGCGGCCACGGAGGCTCATAGAAACCTTGAATCCCCAAAAAATGGCGGCGCTTCCAAGTTGGAATGAATTGTATTCGATAGGGGTTTGATGTATCGTTTGGTTAAAACAATAGAACATGACCTCAAACAAAAATTTTAGGATTTAAGTAAGAAAAGCTGGAAATGAGAAAATTCCTGACGATTCCACTTTTCATTGTCATTTTATACTCATTAAAATAAAAGATCTATCCAAAGAAACCCGTTCCCTCAGATTTCTAAATTGACTTTTGGGGCTGTGTTTACATGTTGAACCAATCGATATTTATTTAAGCTCACCTGTTTGATGTATTATTTCGTTTTCAAACTCTCCATTGCAACTATTTACTGGCAAAATAAACGCTGCCTCATTTCGTCAAAATGTTCTTCCGATATAAGTCTCTTTATCACGGATGAAAATTATTCGCTTCAGCTTCTGCTTCTTGCTTTCATTTACCTTTCGATACACTCTTCATTCGATTATTTCTGTCTGCACTCTCTTTAAACCGTTTCATCAATTTTACCCAGGCATTCTCCAAATTGATTATCCCTCCTCTGTTTCTCCAGTTACTCTCAAATCTAATGCTGTATCATCGTTTCTAATCTCGCCAAACATACTGCAGCTGCCGGTCGGCGCTAGACACATTAGAGCTCCTACAAGACCGCAGGAATACTTCCCGCATTGCGCCAAACACCAGTGCGATCGCTACGCGCGCACCGGTCGGCGCGAGACAGATAAGCGCTTACAAGACTGCATGAATACTTCACGCATCGCGCCAAACACAGTGCGGCCGCTGGTCGGCGAGAACCTCCTATGCATATATTGATTTTCCCTTTTTTAGAGCTAATTTGACTGGACTATTAGTGTGGCTCATTTCTTGTGATTGCTTAAGGGTTATATGACCATCACAGTCAATGTTAGGAGAAACGTAATCCGGCTTCGTTTCAACTTTTCTTTCGAATCTGATAGACAACCCATCGGCGGCATAAAGTTGAGCATTGCGAGTTCGTGTCTTGCGCCATAGGGGCCGTCCACAAATTACGTAAGACACTTGGGGGGGGGGGGGGGGGAAGGTCAAGCGCCGCCTTACGTAAGCCAAATGCGGAGCCAATGAATGCCAAAAAAAATTGTTCGTCAAAATTTCATTCTCCTAAATTTCATTGTTTCCGGACTTTTTTAATTTAAAAACTGACAAGTTCCAATTTCCTTTTGTAGAATTTTAATATTTGTTTGTCAAAGTTTTATTTTTTTAGATTTTATTTCTTTCAAATCTCGATAATTTAAAGATTATAAGTAGTCCTAATCTCGGTTTTTTTTTTACTTTTAACGTTTTTTGTTAAAGTGTAATTTTTTCTGAACTTCTTTAATTTAAAAACTGATTATTCTTCAATACAACTGTTATTCTTTATGAGCTTATCAAGCGATTAGTAATGTTCAAAACAATACCGATTTGTTTCAACACCATTTTTTCATTAAAGTATTTTAGACGATAGAAGAGTGGGAGTAGGGGTCTGGCCAGCCTCACGTAATTCTTTAGGGCGGTTCTAGGCTAGCCTTACGAGTATCTTAAGGGGGGAAGAGGGTCTAAAAATCTGAAAAAGTGCCTCACGTAATTTGTGGGTGGCCCCATAGTGCCTTTAATTTTGCCTTTGCAACGTAGACAATGGATATCTATCAAGCACGAATAGTTTTGTCTCTGCGCTGTCAGCAACGCGCGTTCTGGTGTCTCTTATTTTTGAAATATGAGAAAAATTAAGGTCAGGTTTGCTCGAATGATGTGTCCGAATCAATAAGCATTAAAAGAAAAAGAAAAAGGAAGAAAGAGAAAAGAGGTCTCTTAAGTTCTCTGAAGGATGCACGTTTGAAAATTGGTATTTTGGCGAGAAGTGTGTGTGTTGTGAGGGATTTTTTTTTTTTACGACTATGACCCACTTCTATACATCCCAATCCGGATCAAATTTACCCAACTATCTTTTCTGGATAATTTACATGTGGAGGGTGGGGAGAGGGATAAGAAAATGCCAACATGTTACGCAAAGGTGATAATTTCAAAAAAAGTATTCTTTACGTTAAAAAAAAAATAGAAGTAAGACAGACGATACTTCAACAACTATCAAAATCAATACGGGTCAATTTAACCCAACCTGGAACTTAGAGTGTTGAAAAAGTCCGGGGCATCTAAGGGTTTATATTGAATGCAAAACGTTGCATTTGAACAGATCGTATTATTTTGGTAAATCTACATAAGTATATTTAAACCATCAAAACCCGATTTTGCAACGAGCACAACTGACCCGTTTGTGATCAGTAGTGCGAGGTTCAAGTGCCGCGTTTTCCTCATTCGCCCGTTGAAGCCAGAAGTTTGCGGTGTTCGCCAAGTAACGAGCAAAATCTGACGTATACGCGTAGAATTGTTTCAGGAATGGAGAATTTGCAGGTGTCTGAAATTTTGTAAATTATAGTTTTGAAATGAAACTGCTAGGAAAATTGAGCACGGGGATATCCTTGGTATCCTAATTGAAAAATTATCGGAGAGAATATGGCAAAATAACCTAATCTGCTAGAATTAATGGGTTTAAGTTAGAGTGTTCCGTTTGTAGACAACCATCTCAAAACCTTGCTCCCCGGGCTTTTTCCCATTCCTTTTGGTCCCCAAAAGATAATTCTGAAGTTTCAGCACTATAGCTTTATTCTACACTTTCCCCTAAAGCGATGAAAATTTTGGAAGCAATTACATTGGTTTAAATGAGGAAAAAATAGGCCGATTCGCGGAACTACGTTTTTCCGCTGTAAAATGCGCCGAAATGATTTCAAACCTGACCATCTCTTGAGAAATCATACAGAGGCCTCTTTTAAACGAGAAAATTCCACTTTTGACCCAGAGATGGGGGCAGGGTGGGTCACGGTGCAGTTAGTTTTGAGGCGCTACACGCAGCAAAATGATTGCATTTGACAGTTTTTGATCAACTTCAAGACAGGTCCTCCGAGGCTGAGGAGGATAATGTATCTCATAAATTGTAATAAAATAATGTACAACAGTTGTTTTCATCCATTCAGAACTATTTTCGACCATTTATACACTATTGCCAAAATCACTCAAGTGCAGAACATGATATACATTAATTTCCTTCCAGGTTCAAGTAAATTTGGCAACAGTGTAAATGGTCGAAAATAGTTCTGAATGGATGAAAACAACTCTTGTACATTATTTTATTACAATTTATGAGATACATTAGCCTCCTCAGCTTCGGAGGACCTGTCTTGAAGTTGATCAAAAACTGTCAAATGCAATCATTTTGCTGCGTGTAGCGCCTCAAAACTAACTGCACCGTGACCCACCCTGCCCCCATCTCTGGGTCAAAAGTGGAATTTTCTCGTTTAAAAGAGGCCTCTGTATGATTTCTCAAGAGATGGTCAGGTTTGAAATCATTTCGGCGCATTTTACAGCGGAAAAACGTAGTTCCGCGAATCGGCCTATTTTCTCCTCATTTAAACCAATGTAATTGCTTCCAAAATTTTCATCGCTTTGGGGGAAAGTGTAGAATTAAGCTATGGTGCTGAAACTTCAGAATTATCTTTCGGGGACCAAAAGGAATGGGAAAAAGCCCGGGGAGCAAGGTTTTGAGATGGTTGTCTACAAAACGGAACACCCTAGTTTAAGTGGAAAATGCCGCCGGATCACGTCACGAGGCGGCACATTTTCTCTCTTTTAAATCGATTTTCCTCCCATTTCACTGAAAACTTATGAAACATACTGCGAACTCCGCTCATTAAGCACGCTCAGATGAAACGGTACAATTTCTCCATTCGTGAACGTATTTGTCACTCGGTTTGCTGCTTTGCGAGTACCGCAAAGTTTGGAGGCGCATTTATTCTGCCGTGCTTAGGAAAATCGCCGTATGAACAATCAAGAGTTGCCAAATGTCTTCAGATGAAACATGTATTTTTGAAGAAAGTTACCCTCATTTTTCCCTGAAATTTTTCGATATTTAGGATTAAATTGCAAACAAAATTGACTGAAAAATTTAAAGAAAAATTATGACAATTTTGTCAGTAAATTCGTTTTTTATCAAAGGAAATTTGGCAACGCCTGAAGGCCCATACGGCGTTCTTCTTTAGCATGCCTGTATTGATGTCTATTTTCGCTGTTACCCGGGGAAACGCTGAATCTCTCGTGATCGTAGCGAATAAAACGCTGGGTGTAGAAACGACATTTCTTGGTTGGGATGTCTCAAAATCTCCGCTAACATTTCCTCCGTTATGATTAAAGTAAACGTATGTAATTTCTTGTGACTGTTTCCGAACATTTTTCATGATTTCAAAATGCTGAAAACGTAAAATTTCAGATAATTCACCCAATAGTCTCTCTCTAAAGGATAAATTAGCACTAAAGATTCTGAAACCACGCAATCGAGAAATGCCCTGTCTGCACCCAACGCCTCAAAATATGCATGCCAATTGGAGAAAATACGGCATCATTTGACATTCTCGCAAAAAACTAGCAGCTGGCTCGGGATAATACTATGGAACGTTCGATGAGTGCAGACGAGTTGCGTGCATGGTGGCAAAGATCCCGTTAAAATGTTTAATTTTTTGTTCGATATTTAATAGATTTCGAGGTAAGCTCGGCTATGCGCCCGAAGCCGTATGATCTGTGACGGAAATACCAGCTTTCAGCATGTGCCGATCCTGAGTTCCATTTCAAATATTTTTGCAAAAAACGAATCCATTTCGTTTGAGGGCACATTTTTATTGTTTTAAACCCAAGAAATCTACGTTGTATGGACGCAGAATATTGCATCCTTTTAGTCAACTCGAAGGGTGACATTTTCTGCTAGCACATTTTCGTTTTAAGTGAGGTTTTCCGGAAGAATTTATCGGGAACAAACTGCTGAAATTTGTCTCGAGGCGTGATAGATCTTCTTTGTGAGGAATGGGGAAATTTAGTAATTACTAATTACTGAATTCTCGGAACGTAGAGAGTGCACTTACTTGACAGAGATTCTCCGGATTTTTCGAAAAGTAATATGTTGCACAAAGAAGGACCCCAAGGTTTTTTTAAGCTCCCATTTGAACGCTCATCGCCGAGAAAGGCGAGGTAGCGTTTCAAAATATCCCACCGGAATTTTTGTCTACGTCGTTGGATCGGTCCGTCTAGTCCGTACTCTCCCCATATTGGTACTCTATTTCTTTGCTACATATTAACCTCACAGCTTAAGGTGATTCGATCGACACCATATTTTGTGTCAGAACGGCATGCGATATATCGCATCAATTGGTTCCATTTTGTCAGCTGCTCGTAATTTTTCTCCAATTTTGAGATCGCAATTCTGTTGCCAGGAGACTAAATCACTGACTTACCAATTTTTACGAACAAATTCAACGTAATTAAGGCGTGGTTTGTTTTAGAGAGAAAACATCGCATTCGATATACTGATATCGAAACTGCACTCCAATGCGATATTTTCCCTCTAAAAAAACCACGCCTTTATTGCGTTGAATTTCTTTGTTAAAATTGGTAAGTGAGTGCTTAAGTCTCCTGACAACAGAATTGCAATCTCAAAATTGGAGAAAAATAACGAGTAGCTGAAAAAATAGAACCAATTGATGCGATATATCGCATACCGTTCTGACACAAAATATGGCGTCCATCGAATCACCTTAACCTATGTCATCTACGTCTACCCGACAAACACAAAATTTCAACAATCGGTCGAAATTAAAACTTGAATTTAATTTTTTCAGAAATTGATGGAAAAATTCTTTATGGAAGCTTCAAAATGCGTCTGATTAGTCAAATAAATTCTAAAATTTCTCGGGGGATGCCCCTCGGACCCCCCCTCCATGCTTGGGGCCCGGACCTTAAAACTGGTACCAGGGCCCGAGATGGGATGTGGCGGGTCTGCATGAAGGCTATTTCCATTTAAATCACCCGTCACATTCATACGGCGCAATGATTTACAACTATTTGAACTCTCCGGAATGCGTGAGGTATCACGCCGCATTTGAAGGCGTTTTCAAAACAACTTAGTTCCGATACCCGGATTATCGTTTTGCACAGTTCATATTCTTTTGTTATATTCCGTGCCACTCGTTTATTTTTAATCCTCGTAGAAAAACCACCCATTTGTAAATACAATTCTAGCTGGAGCGCACTTCAGCTATGCATTCACCACTGCAAAAATGTCAAAGGAAATCGACACGCCCAGCGTATTTCCATTTAAATCTTCCGTCACATTCTTACGGCGCAATGATATAACTATTTGAACTCTCCGGAATGCGTGAGGTATCAGGCCGCATTTGAAGGCGTTTCCAAAACAGCCAAGTTCCGTTATCGGAATAATCGTTTTGCATAGTTCATATTATTTTGTTTCCATTTCTAACCTCTTGTTTCATTATAATCCTCCTATAAAAATCACACATTTGCTAAATACAATTCTAGCTGAAGCGCACTTAAGCGCATTCATGACTGCAAAAATGATAACGGAAATCGAAAAGGCCAGCGTGCATGAAGGCTATTTCAATTGCAATCTTCCGTCGCATTTCTAAGGCGCAATGATACAACTATTTGAACTCTCCGGGATGCGCGAGGTATCACGCCGCATTTGAAGGCGTTTCCAAAACAGCCAAGTTCCGATACCCGGATTATCGTTTTGCATAGTTCATATTCTTTTATTATATTCCGTACCACTCGTTTATTTGTAATCCTCGAATCACCTTAAGCTCCCATTTGAACGCGCATCGCCGAGAAAGACAAGGTAGCGTTTCAAAATATCCCACCGGGATATTTGTCTCCGTGTGTGGATCGGTCCGTCTAGTCCGTACTCTCCCCATTTTGGTACTCTATTTCTTGCTACATATTAACCTCAAAACTTAAATCCACGCACTCGTTTAATTCCAGGCCTGGGCGGAGCTTTCATCATGACGATGAACGCGGTGATAATGTACGACGTCCTCGGGCGTCCCCACGACGACCCGAAATTCACCATCGCCCGAGACTACATCGAGCACCTTCTGGTGGTCCGCGAAGACGAGGCCTATTGCCAGCTATGCGACTCGCCGGTGTGGGACACGGTGCTGGCCGCCTACGCACTCCTGGAGACGGGCGACTCGGACGCCGAGTTGGCCGCCCGCCGGGGGTTGGACTGGCTCCGCGGCAAGCAAATCACCGAGGTCCGCGGAGACTGGGCTTGGCATCGACCCCAGCTCCGACCGGGTGGCTGGGCTTTCCAGTACGAGAACCCCTATTACCCGGATGTCGACGATACGGCTGTTGTTGTCGTTGCCATGCAGCGTGCCGATCGTCTCAATGAGGAGGTAAGACGGAGCAAAGCAGACCCTCCACTGGTATCTTTGGCTACCGGAAGGAGGGGAAGGGGGCAGAGGTGAATAAGGTTGCCCCCTTCCTCTCAAATTCAAGTATACTTTTAGGGATTATAACGTTTTTTCAATGTAACTTCCTCAAAGGGCGTTGAGGGGACGATTATGCACGATATTATGACCAATCAATTGGTATGGTATGGGCATGTGCAGAGAATGGCTGATACCAGGTTGCCGAAGAAGGTGTTGAAGTAGGTCCCCCCAGGTAGGCGACGGAGAGGGCGTCCAGCCAAACGGTGGGTAGAGGGCATCCGTGAGGAGGGAGAGATGCCAGCTTCCGGAGGATCTCTACCATGCCAGATTCCTGTGGCGGGTAGGCGTCGCAGAGCGCCCTAGCGCGCCGTAAAAGCGGCTTATACATACATACATGCTTCCTCAAAATGTCAAAAAGATATAAAAATATGTTTATGATGAGAAGCTCCTAGGTCGAAGGCAACTGGTGCGAGGAGGAGGAGATTTAGAGGGGAGGGGGTGGAAAGAGAATTTGGGACCTTGGTTATAGAAGACGAAGTATGAAAATCATAAAATTCTTCAAAAAACAGAGGAAAAAAGCATCGCAGCTATCAAATAACCATATATTCTCAATACGGGATTCGCAGGCCCGGGTTAGGCATTCGTGGTTAGTCATCTAAGGGTTAATTCGTCGTCTCCCGGACGAACGAACGTAACTCCATTCCAAGGTTGCCAAATCGACTCAAACAATTAATTTATTTTACCAAGTTATATCTTTGCAATTTTCATCAAAATTTTTTCTGAACTTTGCACGAAATCTGAGAAAAAAATCGATGAAAGTTTCAGTTAGAAATGTCCAAGATGCTCCTAGTTATTGTGCAATTTGCGAGGAGAAATTTGGCAACATTGAAATAGAGTTAAGTTCTTTCGTGAGGGAAACGACGAATTTTGGTGATTACCTCCCAAAATACGATACCTCGATTAGAAACTAATTCTGTCTCTTACTTTTCAGAGAACGAGCCATCCAGACAGAGCCTCGACGTCATCCTACTCAGAATGCATCTCCCGCGCAACCGAGTGGGTTCTGGGCATGCAGACAAGCGTCGGCGGGTGGGGCGCCTTCGAGCCGGAGAACACCAACTCCTTCCTCGAGAACGTCCCTTTCACCGAATTCGGCGCCCTCCTCTTCGCGCCCACATCCGACGTCACCGGGCGCTGTATATCCATGCTCGCCGGGCTGACGTCACATGACGTCAGCAAGGCGCAACAACGTGCCATCGACTTCCTCCTGGCCGAGCAAGAGCCCGACGGTAGTTGGTACGGCCGTTGGGGCGTCAACTACACCCATGGCACCTGGAGCGCGCTGGGCGCCCTAAACGCCGTCGGCTTCCCGTTGGACGACGAGAGAATCCGACGCGCGGTGGGGTGGCTCCTACGGGTGCAGAATGAAGACGGGGGGTGGGGAGAGGATGGCGGGAGCTACGCGCTCGATCACTGTTGTCACGAGTGGGCGCCCAGTACGCCCACGCAGACGGCTTGGGCGCTCCTTGGGCTAATGGCCGCCGGCGAGGGCGACCACTCGGCCGTCGCACAGGGGGTTCGGTGGTTAGTGGGCGCTCAAAGGGAGGACGGAGCGTGGGAGGAGGAGGCGATCACAGGTACCGCGTTCCCGCGGATGTTTTACCTTCGGTACCACGGGTACCCGAGCTATTTCCCGCTGTGGGCGTTGGCGAGGTACCGGAACTTGAAGCGCGACGGATTGAAGCGGGTTGAACTGGCACTGTGATGATGTTCCCGTTGAAGAATACATACCGGTGGATCTATACTGCCATGCAACGCAAAAACGCCGTAAACGCCGTTTTACACTTTTTGGAAACAATTGGACCGCGTTAAACAGAAAGGAACCAAGCCACATCAGATATTGCCAAATTTAACAGGGAAATTTCATTTTTTACGAGAGAACGTCTGTGCAGATTCCTTTGAACATTTTGAGGAATTTGCTCTGTATTATGGTGAAAAATCACTGAAATTTGCACAAAAATCCGCACAACCGTTTTTATGCAAAAAATTAAATTGTCCGATTAAATTTGGCACTAGCTGATGTGGCTTGGTTCCTTTCCGTTTAACGCGGTCCAATTTATCGTAGCAGAAAAACTTGTGTACCTTGGGACAGTGTTTTTACAGAATTCTTTCGCTAATACTATCAAGAACTTTAGCTGAAAATTTGAGATGCATAGGTAAAACAGTTTTTGTTTTATAAAGTGTTAAGTTCCGAAAAACGAAGGAAAAGCTTGGTGGATTTACGGCGTTCTTGCTTAGCGCGGTAGTAAAGTGGAAGACACCGAACAGCGATGTATCAAGCAATTATTGCAAAAGTATTGGACTAACTTTAAATTTTCTGTATAGAATTGATATGATACGCTTATGTGAAATTTATGCTGTTTATTCCCCAAAATAAGAGTTTGTAAAACTTGAATCAACGCAGAAAGTATGCGAAAGTGAAAAGTAACAGTGCAATTCGGCTGATCGAAAACAAGAATACAAAATTCTTTATTCTCATATTTTCAGCTTCAATTCAAGGTTTCCGATGAAATTCTTGGAAAATAAACACTTGAAATGTGCGTCTTGGCATGATGATTGTGTGTTTCGCCTAAAAATCAAAGTGAAACTAGCAAATCAACACAACGTGTTCCATGTTTTCATTAGTTGGACATAAAACAAGAGCAACTACTATCAATAGTTGCATCCTCACTTTAGAATAAAAAAGTGGCATGGTGTGGCCCTTGGCCAACCCTTACAATTTGTTTTCTTTTTTCGTAAGTCAGTGAAACTTGAAAATATCTTGTGAAAAGGGAAAAAAAAAACTGCCAAAATTTGGGAGTTCCCTTCAAAACCATCCATGTGTAAGTGTTTTGTTTTGGAAACTCCTTGCAGTGATGTCTTTTTTTGTAAAGGAGCTATAATGTGATTGCTAGACACTCTGACATACCTCATCTATTTCTAGTGAAGAAGCCAACACATGTCAGGGTGATATGTGTAATTGTATTTTAGGTATTCTTTTCAAGTATAGTAAAGGAAATTCTTGTAATAAATGGATATCACTTTGAAAAAATCGTAGCTTAGCAGTGTTTTTCTTACACAAATCTGAATTTTCAAGTGTTTTAAATGCTCACTCAGCATTTTCTTTCTCAAAAACCTTCATTTTTTTAAACGTAAAATACGGCAAAATTTTCATCAAGGCAAAAAATAAATTTTCATCATCCCCTCCTAAAAATAGTACGTAACTCTCTGTCCTATATACCTCCGTCCAATTAGCGTTTTGTGGTGAGTTTTGAATAAGAAATTTCTACCTTCCGTCGGTGTACATAAAAATGGAGCCATAGTGCCTCCATTGTTATGGATATTCAAGAACAACAGGTACTAAGCATCAACAGCTCCGTCCGTTCCCTAGAATAAAACATTGATTTATTTGTTGGAAAATTGCAAATTTTCAGCATTCCTTGACGTACCTACATTCTTGACTTTTTTTACACCTAAGCCGCGTTCAGCGGGTTTTCTTTGTGCAGTTGTTGACTTTAACAACGCAAGCCCAGACCGTTACACACAACACTGAAAATATATGGTTTTTATCATACTCTGCAACAGTGATACGAGTATATGGTAATAAACACGAGACTCTATGGTAGCATCTACCATATTATGGTAAGTACCTATCAGCAGAGTTCTTGTGAATACTACCATAGGGTTTTTCTCACTAAATGGTATCACTGTGTAAAATATCAAGTAGTTTCATAGTAGAGGTTATCATAAGTTTTTCCGGTGAGATTGATATCCATATTCAAGTATTCAAAAATGACAGTACTCACTGGTAGACACAATGAGCAGCAGTGAGGACGACTTGGGGGCCGATGAGGGAACCACCGCACTGATAGACGCTCAGCTTGGCGTCCGGTTTGGAGCATTTCGGACAGGGCTCGTCCTTGAGTATGGCCACCATCCACGGGAACTCCCCGAACTGGGACTCGTTGATGAGGGTGTCGCTCAGCCTCAAGCCACCGACGCCCCCTGCGTTCCGACGTCCACATTCGCGTCGCTCATGCATGTGTGTTGGTGTCGATGGTGACGTCACGCGGTCCTCTGCGTCCAGCCTCGGGTCCGACGTCACCCGCGCGCAGCAGTAGACTTCCAGGTAGTGGGTGCACGGCCCTAGGGTCCTGCAACATGAGGATGTGTATAATAGTGACCGTTTACAGGGTAAGTGAGACGCAGGTCTTGCTAACGAGTGCCAGATACACCTGGGAGCTAGACGCGCGTCTTGAGCGGCGAGTGGGCTTTCGGCCGTGTTTGGCGATCTTCGTAACCAATCAGGTTGCAACTCGCCGCCCGTAACTCGCTCAAAGTGGGATCGGATCCTATACTTTTCGCGTCTAGACGCGCGGGTAGCAAGCAGGTGTATGGAATTATTTCCGTAAACCTCGCGCGCGTTCACAAAGAAAGTCGGCGCGTGGTTGCGCCACTGGCGCGGAGCAATTCCTTAGCGCGCGACCAGTATTCCTCCTCGCGAAGTAAAACTCGACGCCCGCGACATAGGTATCGCTGCGCGCTGTCGGTGTTTCTCCGCGCGAGGTGTAACTCGACGCGCGCGAGAGCAAACCCGCCGCGCGCCATGTAGTATCGCATGGCTCAAGGTTGTATGTTGCCAAACGTCTTTTTAATTACAGTTTAAAACCTAACCTAACCTAACCTAACCTAACCTAACCTAACCCAACCTAACCTAACCTAACCTAACCTAACCTACTATTAAACTAAAATTAAATCTTCATTTGGCAGCCGTGTCTTGACCTTGTTAAGGCTCTGTAGCAGCGCGCGCGAGAGATTTTCGCCCGCGCGAGGTATTGTCGTGACCTTGGAGATTTCTTCGCGCGCGGTGAGATTACTTCGCGCGGGGGGAGATTTTTTCGCGCGCGCGAAGATTCTTTGCGCGCGCCGACTCTACTGCTCACGCGCCGACTTTTTTCGTGAACGCGCGCGAGGTTTACGGAAATAATTCCATACTATCTGGCGCTGTACCCAAGACGCAGCTTTTCGCTCCCGCCGCCAGAGCTGTGGCCAGAGACAAGAGACCCTCCACTGGCCTCTTAGCGACAAGTGGAAGTTTTTACTCTCGGGGTTTCAACGATTCCTTATGAACAATTACTAGGAAGCAACAGTCATCACCCTAGTTTCGGCTGTTGACTTACCTACATGGTCGATGATGAGCTTCGGATGACGTCATGAGCCAAACAAGTTTCCCAAACGTCGGCCATTTTCGGCTTGTTTGCAAAAAGAAACTGCCAAAACGTTGTTGAACATCAACCATGTAGGTAAGTCAACAGTAGAATACTGGAGTCTCGGTAGTAAAAACAGTAGAATGCTGAAGTCTCGGTAGTAAAAGCTCCCGCCATGGCCAAGATACTAGTGGAGGGTCTCTTGTCTCTGGCTGAGGCTGTGGCTGTGGCACGAGATTTGAATATCAACAATTTTGCAGTCTTGGCCGAAAAACAAATGTGACCGTCTGATGTTGATGATAAAATAATTGAGAATTTGCAGGTGTTGGACATTTTTTTAAGTTTACGAGTATGTTAAAGAAGACGTCACTAAGTAAACGAAGCATGAAAAAATCTTCGATTTCTAAAATGAACAATTTTTAGAGGAGATATGACCAAAAGACCTAATCTGATAAAATGCATGTTTTTAAATGAATAATTCTACTTGATGATGTCACTAGTCGGGAGATTTTCTCACTTTCAAAACTTTTTTACTACAGTTTCCCATATCGGGATAAAACCACGAAAAATACTGCGAACGCAGCCAGGGCCGGATTTACCTACTTGCCGCCCATGGGCCGCCTGTATTTTGCCGTCCCCTTCTTATTCGTTTTGAAACATCATTAAAAACCATCAAGTGAACGTGCCTGAGGGGGAAGGGTGCATAAAACGCGTTCACTCGTGTTGGACACATTTTTTGCGTAAGCCCTGTCAACACTACTAGCAAAAGTTCACAGAACTTTGCGCGGGAGTTCAGTCCCGTAAACCTAACTCTGTGTGGACAAGGCCTTTCATTTGTAAGAATTGAACTAAAAAATTATGAAAGAACAAACATAAATGTGGTTTAATAATTTTAACTTCCGCCGCCGCCGCCGCGCCGCGCCGACCGCACTGTGTGTGGCACAATGCGTGAAGTATTTCTACAGTCTTATAGGCGCCACGCGTTTCACGCTGACCGGGTGATATCCTGATTCCGTCCCAAAAGCACACCATCCGATTCCGTACTGTGTTTGACGCAATGCGTGAAGTATTCGTGCAGTCTTGTAGGCGCTATGCGTTTCTCGTCGACCGTTGTTGACCGCACTAGGTTTGACGCAATGCGTAAAGTATTCATGCAGTCTTGTAGGCGCTAATGTATTACATGCCGACCACCGCGCCGAGGGCTTTTCCTTTTCATCCCAAGTCCTCGTCATCATTGCTGTTTGCGCCAGGTCAAATTCCGTGGCCTGATTTCCAGGCCGTTCCAGGCCAAATTGCGTGTTTGGTTTCTCTCTAAACTCGACTAATTGAAGGTGCGCTGTCTCTTGTATCACCGAAAGATGACAAAGTTTGAAATTATTATACTCTCAGGAAATGAGAAATTTCGTTACCTTTTCTCGTTTGTATATAATTTTATTTTCCGAGTCCGATGTTTTTTTACACCTACTCTTAAAACATTTGCTCACTTTTCCGCCATGGGCCGCGGCCATGTGGCCACCCCCTAAATCCGGCCCTGAACGCAGCTATTAGTACTGGCAGATTAGGGTCTCGTGACGTCATAGCAACGATTGATGGGTCGCTGGACACTTGGCAACTTGCTGGTGTATCTTGGCCTTAATTGCCTGCCGAAATGACAGCCAATCGGGAACCCTGTTACATGGCCTCACAGCTTTCACGTGTAACCAATAAGGATATTTCAACCAGCGATCTGCTCTAAGCAAATTGGTAGCTACGAAAATATTAGAGAGCTTTAGCAGGACTAAAGGGTCATAATAGATTCCTTTGTTCTCGGCATTAATTGAAAAATTGTTACCAGCACTCTAAACGGTCTCCACGTTTAATGGAGATGTTCTATGTGCGAGGGATTTGCAATTTGACCATTGATTCTTATGTAAAAGTTCGCGAGAAACACGATGATGCCACGGGTTATCTCTGAAATCATCTCCCAAGCTCAAAAAAAGCTCTCAAAGTGAGACCAAAATGGAGGGGATATCCCACCTTACCCTGAGAGTCCACCTCTACATCAAAACAAACTCTCCATGCTAAGATATAGGGAGCAAATACATTGACAGGGCTCGCGCCACTTTATTTGGGGACTCCAAAACTGAAAACACGGCAACACTGGTAATGTATTTGCTCCCTATCTTTGCATGGAGAGTTTGTTTTGATATAGAGGTGGGCTCTCGGGGTAGGGTGGGATATACCCTCCACTTTGGCCTCACTTCGAGAACTTTTTATGAGCTTGGGAGATGATTTCAGAGAAAACCAGTGGCACCATCGTGTTTCTCGCGAACTTTTACAAAAGAATCATTGGTCAAATCGCAAATCCCTCACACATGCAACATCTCCATTATCACGATGAGAAAATATGACTACGTTCCCGCCACGGAGAGGCTTTGAAAATAACCCAAGATGCAATGGGTGATGCATCATGATTGTATCAGCCGCGGATTTTCGCAACCAGACCATGAAGCACGGTACATGCTTACCGCGCTTAAAAGCGTTGGCTATGGCTACCCACAATCTCCGGCTTCGCTGAGGAGCAACGTATATACCGTTAGTTTCCTTATGCACACAAGTGCTTTTACAGATGAGCCAGAAATTGTTGGTAACCGAAAAGCAAAATATAGTCAAGGTGATCACGTCATTACTTCGCTGACCAACGAGGGAGCCTACGCGTAAAAGCGGTGTCACTTGCATGCTTCTATTTAGAATTATTTTTAAAAATATGTAAATGAAGAGAAGAAATTAGTTCGGTTTTATGTAATGTTTTATCGTTTGAGGCGTCAATAATTCCGACAAAATGTACAAAAACTTCAAAACCATAAGTTGGAAACCGCTGACACCGCAATTTTGAAAATCGCGTTAAACACGGTGCGGCCGTGCACGGCGCGGAACGCATAGTAGCGCCTTACAAGACTACTGGATACTTCATGCATTGCGCGTACAGCACGGCGCGAGCCACGGATAGTTCAGCGTCTTACAAGTCTGCAGGATACTTCATGCATTGCGCGTACAGCACGGTGCGAGCCACGGATAGTTCAGCGCCTTACAAGTCTGCAGGATACTTCATGCATTGAGCGTATACCCCCCCCCCTTGTAACGCTTTTGTGACGTAGGTCCTCATTATCCTTTAACACGCAAAGAAAAATAGCGTAATGCTCTCCTCGGCCCTCCCCCTACCCTCTACACCGTTACTTAATTATTTAGAGACGACCCCGTAGGATCATGTTTAAATTGATTTCTTGAATTTTTTGTGACTTACACGAATCTTTAACATTCAATCTGGTGTATGCAATTTGAGACAACCTCCAACTCAAAGCTTAGAAAGTATACATGCTGTGAATGTAGTATGACCGCGGCATCACGGAAAGATGGTTTATGAAATCGCAAGAGTTGATTTTTGATCTATCCACTGTGTGAATCGTTTTCTTCAGATCCTTAGATCAATACATGTGGATATACCTTGAAAGCTAAGACGTGCAAGTACAGTCTTTTATATTCCTAGAAACACGCTTAAAGTTTCAAAATTACACGGAATGGCGGAAAAAAATATGAAACTCACTTTTTGATGGATAAAAACACAATTTTAATGATGAATTTTTTACAGAATGTATTCTTAGACTAGTTAAAGTCGAGATCACTAATACCCCAATTTTTCAGAAACTGCACGTTCATCATGGGACGTTTATTTATAACTCCGATCTCTTCCACTGGCCCATTCCATTGATAAAAATATTAGTGTTCTTGTGTTACTTTTGGTTAATATAGGAAGTAAAACACAGATCAACCCAAATTTTGTGTTGATTTTGGTACAGTTTGCGGTGAATTTAGCGCAAAAAACAACGAAAACACTAGGAATCCCTAGAGTCAACCGAGGGCTTGGGTTATTTTGTGATTTATTTCCTATATAAACTTTATACACTGGA